TTTGGCCTGGGCGTTGCTGGGAACTGCTTATTCGGCAAGTGTGTTGCCATCCCACTGTGCTCCAGGCTCTGGCCCAGCCATCTTCCAGGCTCGAGGAAGGGCCCTTCTTTTGATCGTTCTTATTTCGTAGCTGGCATTCTACCTTTTTCTTGCTCCAGTGAGATTGGAGGTGTTTGTGGGGTGGACTTACACCCTAGTGGGCAGCAGAGACCAGTGACTGTGTAGCTTCCTAGTTAGTCCTGTATGCTATTGTTTCCAGAAAGCCAAGAGGCCAGAGGCAGATTCTGTTCTCTTCCCCAGTGCAACACTGGCATAAACTCCTGTTTATATCACATTTTATCATGGTTATTATCGAGATTAAGAATTAGGCTTTTTTTTTTTTTTTTGGCACTGGGGATCAAACTCTGAACCTTGCACTTGCAAGGCAGGCGCTGGAACCACTGAGCTAAATCCCAGCCGGCATTTTTTTTTTCACCAGGGATTGAACTCGGGACCTTGTGCTTGCAAGGCAGGCACTGGAACCACGGAGCTAAATCCCCAGAAAGGCATCTTTTTAAGGAAACTCTTAAGGTAGAGAATAATGGACTAACTGTTATTACAAAAACACCTATCTGAAAGGTCAAGGTAAAGGTGGTCCAAGGTGGTCCAGCTGTGTCTGGGCTGTGGCACTTCATCATTGAGGGAGGATTGAAGCAGTCCTAGATCACAGCATTCTCCAGCTGGATGTGAAGCTCTCAAAGCCTCTGTTTTCAGCTGCGAAAGGGGAGAATAACCTTTATTTTTCAGGGTGGTTGTGAGGTTGCAGATAACTGCAGAGCACTTATTACCCTTAAGGAATTACAGTACTATTCTTTGTGTGTGTGTGTGTGTGTGTGGTAGTAGAGATTGGACACAGCATTCACACTGAGCTACATCCCTGGCTCTTTTTTTTAATTTTAGAGACAGGTCTTGTTTAGTTGTCCAAACTTGGCTCAAACTTGCCATCCTCCTGTCCCAGCCTCCCAGAATGCTGTAATTACAGATGTATGTCACCATGCCTGGCTTGTCTTCCATTTTTGACCAATCAGACACTATACTTAGAGATTTTTAGGGCTTGGCTTCCTCTGACTAGATGCTTTTTCAGTTCAGCTACCCAAGTGTCCCCAAAAGAAGATGGATGTTGGGTGATGCTGTTTTTACCTCTCTAAGCACCTGCTGCTGCTGAGAGTGCTCCTAATGACTTCCTAATGAGGGACAGACATCTAACTGGGGACATGAGAAGTCACTAAGTAGATAGCATTTCCTGCTAAAATGTGTCCAGGAACCCTTCATATGCCTAAAGTATTGGTGGTTATATCAGCAATGTGGCCCAGCTTGCAGGCATCGCAAACTGATTTTTTTGGTAGGAAGATTTAGAGTTAATCATGCAAGAATTCCTGACTAATTTTGTGACACTGGAGATCCTTCGGTTATCTCTAGGATGTATCTGACATTCTGTAAACCAGGGTTTGTTTAAATCTACAAACCCAGCACTCTGGGAGGCTGAGGCAGGAGGATTGCAAGACTAAGCCCAACCTGGGCAGCTTAGTGAGACCTTGTCTCAAAGTAGAATATGGACTGGCGATGTAGCTTGGTGGTGGTGGTAGTGGTGGTGGGGTCCATGTCATTCCTCAAAGGATGGCTGATGCTATTCCAAAAACGTGGTCTTTATTTCCATATTCATGAATTAAAGACTAGATATTGGACTTTTTGAGGTGAAAGAAGTTAAGAGTCAATGTCTAAGCTGGGTGTGGGGGTGCACGCCTGTAATCCCAGCACTCGGGAGGCTGAGGCAGGAGGATTACCTCGAGTTTGAGGCCAGCCTGGCCTACATAGTAAGTTTAGGCCCACCCTGAACTACAAAGGGAGACTTTGCCTCAAAAAACTAAAAAAAAGGTCAATGTCTAAGTTAGCCTTCTGTCATATCTCTCTCAACATGACCCTTTGGACCCATACAAAAGAAGCCCCCTCTGTGTTCAGTAGGTGACCCTGTAACTGTTTGAACATAGCCATCGTAGTGTCCCCTCCTTCCGTTTTCTAGCTTAAAGCTCCCTGGTGGAGTATATGTTACCATTAGAAGTCCTCCTTTCTTCTTTTTTTTTTTTTGGTAGCAGGGATTGAACACTTGAGAGGCAGGTGCAGCACCACTGAGCTAAATCCCTGGCCCAAAGTCCTCCTTTATTCTTTTGTTCAATTATCCATTTATTCATTGTGTATTTCCCAAAAACTTCCACAAGAAGACCCCTCTAGGCTGTAGTGGTGAAGAGCACAGGTTTTGCAGACCCTGACTTGGGCAAATTTTTTGGGCACGATGGCGTGCTAAACCTAGCACTCAAGAGACTGAGTCAAGAGGATCACTGAATTTGAGGCCAGTCTGGGTTACATAGTGAGTTCAAGGCCAGCGTGGACTACATTGTGAGTCCTTGTCTCAAAACCAAAATAGATAGACAGATAAAGAAGCTAAGTCCTAAAGAGAAAAAAAAGTTTTGCCTTTTGTATTTTGAGACAGGGTCTCACTGTGTAGTTCAGGCTAACCTCCAGTTTACGGTGATCTGCCTCAGCCTTCTGAGAGCTGGGATTACAGGCATGCTCCCCCCACACCGGGCTCTTCATCTATAAAGGGGAGACCCCACATGTACACTCACAGATGAGTCGTGAGTTTGAGTGAGGTGACACATGACAGGAAACCCTTGGGTCTGGTGCATAGGAAGTGCTCAGTTGATAGGAGCAAAATTTTCTAGTTAACGCTGGTTGATAGAACACATGTATGTCTTGTTCTAGTACTGAGAGGTCGAAGAATATGAGATTAAAATTTGTCTACTAAAATAAGGGTTAGGGGGATTTATGGTAATTAGCCGTAAAGTTCCTTTCATTTCCATTTCTTTCCCCCTTAACAGTTTATTTGGAATTTTAGTCTTACGAAAGAACAATGCTTCTATGTTAGTTTTGACAGGGAAATTTGGCAGGATTGATGGAAGAATGCTGTTTAAATACAGATGGTTGCCTTTGGGTATTCACATTCTAGAGTTAACCTTTTAAATAGGAATTTTTTTCTGGAAGAGCATTACTTAACCCATTGTTACTTAATTGCAACAATGTAACAAGCTGGCTTGATGGGGCTCACTTGTAATCTCACCTACTTGGGAGGCTGAGGCAGGAGGATTGCAATTTTGAGGCCAGCCTGGGTAATTTAGCAAGACCTTGTTTCTCAAAAAAATTATAAGGACTGGAGATTTAGCTTAGTGGTAGAGTGCTTGCCTAGTATATGCAGCAGAAGCATTGAGCCCCTCCCTTTCCTTTCCAACATCTCTCATTTATTGGATGACCACCATGTAAAAGATCCTGAGCCACTTCCCTGCATCATATCCTTTAACTTGTGACCACCTTGTGCCCTGGGCACTGTCATGGAGGTGGAAATGATATACTACCTGGCCCAGGTCACAGAACTCTTTCCCACCAGGATTATCAAATTTCAAAGCATAAATTCTTATAGTTTGTTTCCTATAAAGAATCATAAACTCATTTGCTTTGCCTTACTTTAGTTGAGCCTGAAATCAAAGCCTGTTTGCCTCTGGTGCTATATTAGGGGACTGACAGGGAGCAGGCATGTCACAGTGGTACAGGCAGTGTGAAGATTGGGTCATCTTTGCCTTAGGGTTGTCATTGGAAGTATGACCAACCACCAGCCCAGAAGTGGACTTACTCTTTCTTCAGTGTGCATTTTATTGTCCACTGTTCTCTTTTTGTGCCGCTTGTTTGCACAGGAAGTCTTCAAAGAATCTCAGACTAAACAGGAAGTGACTGTTCCCATATAAAAAGGTTCTAAAAGGAAGGAGGATGGTCAGGAGAAGGAAAGGGGAAGGTTGATAATGGCACTTGACCTGGCAGTTGTCTCCAGTGGATTTTCTGTAAAGATCTCTAACTAGGTTTATAGCCTATGCACATTTTTTAAGTAAATCTGTCCTTCCATGTTGGTGTCATCACCTTGGAAAGGAAACCATATTGCTGAGACACACCTGGGTCTCTTTACCTTGATCCTGTTTGGTCACCCTCCTCTTTTTAGTGGATATTTTAACAAAAGGTCAAAATTTCAAGTGTATTTCTTTGACTTTATGGTAATTGAGCATTTAAGTAGAGCCAGATTTTTTTCCCCCACATGAACTTCAAAATGAATAATTTTGGAGTAGAGTATCTCAATATTAATAGTGTTAATGAGCATGAGCTTTGGAGACAGTCCTTCCTGGGTTCGAGCCCAAGCACTGCCACTTGGTAGTTAGTGTGATTTAGACATACGAGATTTTTTCTCTTTGGTAAAATGGAATGTTGTGAAATTTAAGAGGAAATGAGTTCTCAAATATTTGCAGATGCCACTACTTCATGAAAAAGGTGACTTTGAGGAAAGAATAGACAAAGAATTATGTTGTTTTGTTGGATTAATCGGCTTTACTCTTTCCTAATGTGGAAGCCACTGGGAATTAATCTCAGGCTAGTGTATCAAAGCAAATTCTCTTCTGGTGCTGTCAGCCTAAGTAGAGTGCACACTATATATGTCTTTTCTAGAAAGAGGAAATATTAGAATCATCTTTTATCTTCTAAAGATTTTAGCCATCAAGTATTTAACATCTGTTATCCATGTAGAGTGTTTGGAAAATTTCCTGTTTACTCCATTGCATCTCTGATAAAGGATGTGGATAGTCATCTTATTGTTACTTTATTAAATAAGCTTGGCCTGCTTTTTATAAACATCTTTGTTTGAATAATGCAATCTCACACTCAAGGTACGTCTCTGTGAATCTGGCATCTTTTGTGATATTTGGAGGCCAGAAAATGCAAAATTAGTGAGATGAGCAAGTGGGTCTCTTACCTTGCTTGAAATCTTTCTAACACTTGCCACTCTGCTGTGAGTTCGTCTCTGGAAGCCTTGCCAATAATATGTTGATACTCACTTTGTTTTTGTTTTTCCTTTTCTCTTTTCTGGACAGAAACCAAAGCCCAAACCCCGGCCATCCATCACAAAGGCAACCTGGGAGAGTAATTATTTTGGGGTGCCCTTAACAACTGTTGTGACTCCGGAGAAGCCAATCCCCATCTTTATTGAAAGATGTATTGAGTACATTGAAGCCACAGGTAAGTGTGTTACTGCACAGCAGGTCATGGCTTTTGCTGTCTGCGGAACATTTTCAGGAGGGCTAAGCTTTCTGGCATTTATGGAAGCTGTGGTTTAGTGTGAGATAACCTGACAGATGTTAGATTTGTGGGTCCTCTGTGCAGTTGTGAGGGTGTTGTGTGGCATTTATTACACTTCTTAGTGTGCAGGAGCCAGGAGTGTTCTGTCCTCGGGACTGCAGTCGTGGCAGGTTGGATGCCTTCTCTGAGCTGGCTTCAGCACTCAGTCACAGCACGCAGCTCCGTTTGTCAGTTGCCTGGGTGTCTGTCTGTGTAAGCTCTTTGAGGGCAGGGAAAGGATTTTATTTATCCTATTGTCTGGATATACTGGATGCATAACACATTTTGAATTAACAAAATGAACGAGTAGCGTAACTGTTGCAGCCCCTGGCACTTTTGAACAGGTGCCTGAGACTTGTATATTAGTAGGATATTTTCTGAGGTAAGAAAGCAGTTAGGATGCTTGGCTATCATGTGGTCATAATTCTGAATTTCAGCCACACTGACAACTTGGGGTTAGCACAAAGGCAGTCTACCTTAAAATTTTTCTGTGGGATTCTTAAAAATGACAAGATTTTACTTGCATTGGAACCATTTGTTTCAATCAGAGTTCCCATGTGTGAGTGTCTCTTTGGCCTTCCAGTTTCACATCGTTTCCATTGATTTTCTTCTGGCTGCTTTCAAAGCTGATGATCTTTGAGGAGAAGGTAGTGTAGCATTAATAGCTGAGCTCAAAAATACACACTTACGCTGATTTCAAACTTAGATAGTAATTACAACCTCCTTCACGTTCTTTCTAATGCCAGTGTTATCTGTAATAATCCTAACTACTGTGTGGTGTGGACAGGCTGTCAGGCTCAGCCAGTTGTTCAGCAACATCCTGTGAAGCTGAGTGACAGTGTTAATATTTACTTAAGATGTGCAAAAAAAAAAAGATGTGCCAAATCAGGGAAGATAGCTTTCAAGTTGAAGTACACCAAAGACTCCATAGTTATTTCCCAGGTTTCCTCAGTTGCACCTCATGGTTGAATAATCATAGCAGAACTCTAGCCTAGCTTAGTCCATTCTGTTCCTAAAATCTTCTCTCAGTGTTCATCTTTTCACAGTGCTATCATATCAACATTTTCTTCCTGGCATCTCTCAGACAAGGAGAAAATCTACAGGAAGCAAGTTTAAGTGGTCAAAGCCTCTCCTTGTTAACCTACACTTCAGAGAGTTTGGGATTTTCATGGGGGGAGATAGAGAGACTTTTTCCTTAACTTTTTGCTTTAAAATTATTTTAAATTTATAGGAAAGTTATACAAATGGATAAATGTTATAAGGCATAAGTTATAAAAATTCCTGGGCTGGGGATTTAGCTCAGTGGTTCCGCCGCCTAACTCGCAAGCACAAAGTCCTAAGTTTGATCCCTGGTACCAAAAAAAAAAAAAAAATTCCTGCTACCCTAAATTTTTCTTTCTTTTCTTTTCTTTCTTCCTTTCTTCTTTGGTACCGGGGATCGAACTCGGGTCCTTGAGCTTGCGCAGCAGGCAGCAAAACCACTGAGCTAAATCCCCAGCCCTCTGCTACCCTAAATTTTAATGTTTTACATTTGCTTTGTCATTCTTTCTCTATATATGTACCTTTTTAAAATCTCCATAAAGATTTTGAAAATTGCAAATATGATGCCCCTTTCCACCTAAATACTTTAATGTGTGTTTCCCGAAAACATTCTCTTATAAAACCACCTTACAGTTATCCTACCCTTATACCAGGATTAATATGCCTGTGTTTTTGTTTGTTTGTTTGTTTGTTTGGGTACCGGGGATCGAACCTGGGACCTTGCGTTTTTCTTTTTTTTTGGTACCAGGGATCGAACTCAGGTCCTTGCGCTTGTGAGGCAGGCAGCGGAACCATTGAGCTAAATCCCTGGCCCTGGGACCTTGCGTTTTTGAGGCAGGCAGCAGAACCACTGAGCTAAATCTCTGGCCCACGCCTGTGTTTTTAACCAGACATTGTCCTGTGAGCTTGTTCCTCTGTCGTTAGATACTCTGAAAACATTACTTGTTTCTTTAAAAAATGACTTACTTTAACTGACAAACCAAAATTACATACATTTATCTTGTCCAACTTGTTTTGAAACACGGGCGTGTGGGAGCCATGACTGCAGTGTGCACTTCTGTGTGATGTTGCATGAGTGGCTGCAGCACAGATGACCTAACTGTTCCTTTGCTGCTGACCAGGCAGCATTTTCTTCTGATGTGCTTACAATTTAAGCAGAATAGCTAGGAGTGGTGCAGCTCCTGATCTGCACTTGAGCCTGGGTTGCTGTCCTTGCTCTGCCACGTGCTCATCTGTAGAACAAGGGTGATGCAGGCTTTGCCTCATGGAGGGGCGGTGAGGGCCACACGCGTGGTACCTGTCCCACAGAAGTGTCCACTGCTGCTCGTTGCTGTTAGTTTCACCAGCAGTGCTTTTGGTTTCCTTCCCTTTGCTTGCCCTTCTGACATTCCCGGTAAGTGTAAACTCCTATCAGCTTTCCAGTTTGAGAAGGGTAAAACCTACTGAAAAAGCTGAGAGTTGTACAGTGGTCACTTGGCACTCCGTGGTTAACATCCCTCCACTTTTGCCCTTTACTGTCCCCAATTTTTTTTTTTATTGTTGTTAAGCCATTTAAAGCAAATTAGGCACCATTCTCATCGTTCCTAAAAACCTCAGCACATATCCCTAAGGTTAAAGGCCTTCTCTTCCAGAACTGCACTAACATTACCACTTTTAAGAATGTTAGCCAGGGGCCAGGGTGTAGCTCAGTGATAGAGCACTAGCCTAGCATGGTGGAGGCCCTGGGTTGGTCCTCACAGTACTAAATAAAAATCAAAAAGAATATTAGCCTTAATGCCATAGTTCATTTCCCATATAGTCCATATTTAAATTTCCTCAGCTGACTTAAATCTGTGTGGTGTGGTTTTTATTCTAGGATCTAATCAATGTGCACGCTGCATTTGGCTGTTGCCTCTGCAGTCCCATTCAGTCTAGAACAGTCCTCTGCCTTTTTTAACTGATGAGTTTTCTGAATCATCTAGAATGTTGCCTTGTAGAATGTCCCCTTTAGTCATGTGCTATTTGGACTTCTCCATCATCCTCAGCCCCCTTTCAGCACCACCTGTGGTCCTCTCAGAGTGATGCAGTGGACATGGGACTGCTGCCCCTATCTGTAGACTGTGTTGAATGACTTGAGTTCAGGGCTGTGGTGTCTCCAGCTCAGACTGACTGAACTGGTCTTAGGGAAAATGGGTGCTGCCACCTGGCTTCCCATCCCATCTCACCCTCTGTCATGCCTGGTAGAAATTGCCCTGTGTTGCCTCATTTCTAGTTTCACATGGGTGCCCTCTGAGCCAACTGGAGATGTTACTCCAGTGAACTTTGTTTGACAGGCCTGGCCCAAGGCAGAAGTCCATGTGTCCCTGTTTTTTTGTGTCTCCTGTACTTTGGCACTTGGCTACTCGTCTCACCAATGAACACATTGCATCATCCCATGTGAAAGCAGAATTTCGGATGCACGCACGCGCGCGCACACACACACAGAGGTGGTAGTGGGAAGAATATATGTGCCCCAGGGCCTCCAGTGCTGCCCACCTACCTCTCGGCACAGCCAGGAACACAGTCAGCAAGAGGGTAATGAACAGAGAGGACACCACAGCCTTGCAGTGAGGAGGAGACTAGCTCAGCCATTTACAAATCAGGATAACCTGAACCATCTCATCATTTTATAAATATTTTTCCTAATTGTAAGAGTAATGTACTCGAAAGCCAGATATAGTGGTGTACGCCTGTAATCCCAGCATTTAGGAAGCTGAGGCAGGAGGATCCCTGGGAGTTGGAGGGGAGCCTGGGCTACATAGTGAGTTCAAGGTCAGCCTGGACTACAGAGCAAGACCCTATCTCAAAAAAAAGAGAGAGTAATAAGAATTGCTCACTGTAAAACAAATTGATCACAGGTATGTATAACAGAAAGTATTGCTTAGAACTCCAGTCTCTAGAAGTAATTTCCATTCAGAGTTGGATTATGCTTTCTGCTAGTGTTGGCTCCCCAAAATGTTTGAAACCATGAGATCATATCTGTACTATTCCTCAGCTTGTTGTTTGCTTTATGTCCAGCATCATCTTAATTCCATTTCCAGGCCACCTGTCTTATAGTTTGTTGGTGGTGTTGGTGATGTTGGTGGTAGAGGAGGTGGTGGCGATGGAGGTGGAGGTGTGTTTATTGGGGATCAGACCCAGAGCCCTGCTCATGCTAAGCACATGCTCTACCACTGATCTTCACCCCTAGTCCTGCACTATAGTTTTTGGTAGAGAAAAGAGCAGCAAGAGTTGGCATCAGAAGGCGGTTCTGGGAGTGTGGGGAGAAGAGAAGCCTTGTTTGCTAAAGGAGCACACTACAGATTCCTGTGACTGTCATGTTTCCTCTCCACAGTTTGTGAGTAAGTTTCCAGCTCCCTCACAAGAAAAAGGATCATAGCTTTCTCACCTCAAAATTTGCTGCTCCTGATATTTTAACAAGGCTCTAATTGAGACTCCTCCCCATATTTTTCTTTCATAAGTTAGCTTATGACATTGTGGATACAGATGGGTTCCAGTTTGTGCCCATCTTTATTTCCTGAATTTTGTGACCACTCCATTTACTTCTGTTTCACATTTCCTAAAATCTGAATGTGTTGGCCAGGGATTTAGCTCAGTGGTTCCGCCGCCTGCCTCGCAAGCGAAAGGACCAGAGTTCGATCCCCAGTACCAAAAAAAATCTGAATGTGTTCAGGCAGTGTAAGTGGAACAGCTTTCACATTGATCCTCGGATGCTTTCAGGCACAGCAGGCCGGGGACAGCCTCTATGCCTGCTGTCCTACTAAGGTATTAGATTCTCACTGCCAGGGGTCCGGTTACCCGGCAGGGCTGGAGGAGGGCCTCCAGAAGTTTGGTGACAGTCA